TAGTTCTCACTGAGTTTCTTGAGATTCCTTACAACCATTATTTTGAATTCCATCTCTGCTAGATTGCTTGCCTCAATTTCATCTATTTTTTCTTAGTACTCCTGCTTTCCTAAAAATTCAGGATTCTTTCTTTGTATCCACCTCATAAGTGTATTTTCTGGGTTGCTCCAGCATCTCATGTTGCTCTGCTTTACCTGCCTATCTTTGCAGGTTGGTCTTCTATGGTAGAGTTCTGTGGGACTCTGTGGTGCAGTTTCTTTGATCTCCTGAACTGTATGGTCTGGGGTTGTCTTTTATCACTTCACCTGTGCTCTCTTGGTGTATTTTGGCTTTGGCTCTTGATGGTTTATTCATCAGCAAGATGTCATTTGTGTTCTGTTCTCTTCTCAAGATGGCTGACTAAGAGTCACAACCCCTACAGTGTCTTGTATGCTGATCTACAGGTACTGGACAACAAAGCAATACTCCCCAAAAAACCAAACCCACACCAGGAAACATTCCCCCTTACCACAACATTAACATCAACAGCAGTTCTGTAAAGACTAATAATGTAGAAAGAGATTAAGAACACTATACTATAGGAAAAATAGAAAATGACACTTAAGGAGATAAAATTTATTTTATTGCTGGAATAGTAACAAGGTGAAGACAGGAAAAAAATAAAAGTAAAATGTACATAAAAGAAGAAAGGGCAATGGCAGAATGGAGTGAGAAAAGAAAAAATAAAATAGGTTTGAAATAAAATTTAAAAAGCAGTGAAGCAAAAGGAATAAAGTCACAGAAAAACTATGACATGGTAAACAACGACAGCTGAGTAAAGATTAATTAAAGTGGACAAGGAATAGAATATTATACAAAAGGGAATAGAGAATATGAGATGTCTACAGTAAGGGAAAATGATTTTGTGAGGAGAAATAATGAGTGTATGAAATAGAATCCAGGCTAAGAAGGGAAAAATAAAATTCTAAAATCAAATTAGTAAGGGCTGGAGGAAGGCAAAGTGGAGGAAGGAATGGGAAGAGATACCTATGAGATGTGAAATTTTAAAAAGTGAACACATAGGAATACAGTTGCAGAAGAACAGCAACGACTGTACTATCCCTGCCAAAGAGGCCACAGTTAATAAAAGTGGAAAGAAAATAAGAATATTATAAGAAACAGAAATAGAATGAGAGTTGACTAAATCAAGGGAGAATTTTTTTGAGAAAATAGAGCGTGGAGAAATAGAAAGAGGAAGGAATACGAACAAAGTATAGCATGGGGAAAAATATAATTTACAACAAAAATAAGAAATGGCAGAAAGAAGGCAAAATGGAGTGAAAAAAGGACAGAGTACAACATGAGCTTTGAAAGAAAAATTAAATTAAAATAGCACACACATCTTAATAAAAAGACTAAAAATAAAAGACAAAGAATAGTGAGTTAATAGGAATAAAATCGATGCAAAGGAATTCTCAAAAGTTATGCAAAAGAATAAAAAATAACACAAATTCTGAAAAAGAATGAGCTGAAATTCTTCTCAGCAGCATTTGGTAGTCACCTTCTCCTTTTCCTTCTGGATCTGCCTCTGGTTGCTATCAGGTGAAGGTCCCAGTTGGGCCATCCAACTTTGGGTAGCTCTGCCTATATTACTTTCACCTTCCTCCACAAGGGGCTTCTATTGAGGTCATAAAGGTGGGGCCCCTTCTCTGGGAGGCATGGTTCACTCTTCTGAGAAAACCGTGTGTGTGTGTGTGTGTGTGTGTGTGTGTGTGTGTGTGTGTGTCCCCTCACTACACCTGCACCACCTGTATTGTTTTGTTGCAGCTGCTTTCCAATCACTTATAGTTCCTAATGAATTATCTTTTCACTACAAGAAATGAGCCAATCTCTGTTGCCAGAGGGCCCACTCTCTTCTGCTTGACGCTGATTGAAGCTCTGTGTTTGAACTGTTCCTAAGTGGGGCCCTGATTCTTCCCTTCTGAACAACTTTTTGACCTTCCTGCCTTGCTGGCCTCAGTGGAATAGGGCCCTAGGAAGCCATGTATTTTGTCTCCTGGAGAGAAGTTCAAAATGCGCTCTTCTGCAATTTCTTTTTCTTTCTTTCTCTCATAAATATGGAAGCTGTATGGGGTTCTAGAGCCTCTCTTTCTTGCAATCCTGCAGAAGGTGGGGACTGGGTGCAACCACACCTTCCCCAAGGCTTGCTCTCCCCTGGGGAAGGCATCTCTGTCTGGCTGAAAACAATCTGAAGTGCTGAACTCCCAGCCATCCAGTTACCAGCCCTCTCTTTCCAGCAGACAAATGTCCCTAACTTTCTGCCCTGAGTAGCCTTCAGCCTGCCACCGGTGCTTGACTGGGGCCAAGAAATCCTCTGTCTGTGCACATTTCTGATTTTGCTGCTTCACTGCAGCCAGTGGGAGGAAACTGCACCATCAATCCGTTCCCCTCCCTGGCCAGGCAGCTGCAAACAGTGTCCCTGCAGAGTATGCCTCAGATCCCCTTTGATAAAGTCTCCCTGGGCACTCCCACAGCAGTGCTGAGTCACTGTCCCCCTCCCCCCACCTACCATGTCTCCAAAAAGCCCAGAGTCTCTCCCAGTCATGCTGGTTGCAGCCTGTCTTCACCTAAGCCAGGTGCAGGTACAGGCCCTCTCTCCCACTGGCACTCTCCTGGCTGATGTTTGCCACCCGGATGTTGGGGTTCCCTGCCCTGGGAGGGTAGGAAGCCACAGAGCAGCCATCCCTGACCAGGCTCTCCACAGCTGTGGGCTCCACACATATGTCATTTAAATACAAGGTACTTCCCTATTAAAGCATAAAACCTCCTTACCACCCTTGTGAAATGTCTTCTGCACCCCTTGGCTTCCAAATTTTACATCAGCTATTATCTTGGTGAATACTCCGCTTATTTTTTGGAAGACAAGCCCATTATCTAAGTTGGGGACTACGAGCAAATAGACTCAGCTTCCATCTACTTGGCCACCATCCTTTGTCCTTAAATATAGTTATTTTTAAAGCATATCTCATGCAGTTCACTTAGTATTTTAAAGTCGAATTTATACAGGTGGCATTGGTTGGCAAAACCACGCAGGTTCAAAAGGATTTCTACTTCTTAATTTCAAAATGTTGATATGGCTTTATAGACTTCTCACATTATTTGATCTTCATCAAGGGACTTAACCCTTGTGAGCTTTATATTCTTTGCATAAAATGAAAATGTTAATGCCAACTGACAACCTCAGTAATGTGTGAAGAACAACTGCCAGTGAGACTATATAAGAATGTAATTTTTATTGTTTTAAATATTTAATTTCTTTTTAGAAAATGGGGCAAGGTGGGAGAAAGGGAGGGACAGAAATATCAAAGTGCGGTTGCCTTTTCAAGTCCCACACTGGGGACTTGTCCCACAACCCAGCCATATGACATGGAGCAGGGAATCAGACCAATGACACTTTGATTCACAGGGCTTTATGAAGCTCATGGCATGTAACCCACTGAGCCACACCAGCCAGGGCAAGCGTGTGTTTTTCTCACTGTAAAGTACTATGGTAATGCAAGATGTTAGTACTACAAAACGCACCACCTTTCTGTCACCACTTGAGCTCCACAATTATTGATAACAGGATGTTTGCTTTTTACTTTAACTTGCTTTTACCCACATTTTAAAGATGAGTGATGGTTAACTTACATTTTCAATAGCCACTTACGTCATGTTCTGACCTTTGTGTTGGTGTTCATGTGAAATGATTGATGAATTCTGTGTGAACATTACAACAAATTTTAATCTATTGCCTTTATATCCATTCCATTGTGGATGAATCCCAATTACTTCTTTCAAGTTTATGAAGTGCATAAAGACAACCAAAAGTTGACTGTACCTATCTTGGAGAGTTTATATTATTGTTTACCCGTCCTTTCATTGTGGAGAGATATTTCTGAACATCCAATTTACCTGTGACATATCACGGATTACTGTGAGCTCCCTTTAATGAATATATTTATGGATTGGTCTTAAAATATCAATCTTAAAAATTAAATTGCAGGCTTCACAGTGATTCCAATATCCTGGTATGCTCACTGTGACTGATTATTCAAAATGTTTTCAAGTGATAAGGCCTATTTGTAATTAGTACACAACTTCCTATATAGAGCAGGTCTGACAAGGCGGATGAAGCAAAAATGATGGATATGACAATTATAAGTTTGACTAAAACTAGGTTACATACTGCTCATGCCACACATAACAAACATTCGTGAAAATACAAGTTTAAACTAAAGTAGGAGTTTGCGGTTTGTTCTCTTCATTGTGTTTCTACTTTGAAAATACAATATCCATCAGGGAATTTCCCCTTGTAATAATATTTCTTTGATCTCACAACTCTGAAAGGATGAATATCATTCTGAAGCAACATGGTAGGAATATTGACAGAGATACTTTATTAAGCTCAAAACTTAAGTGTTAAGAAAAGTAGAAGCAGATTGGATTATCTACATTATAGCAGTTAAAAACATAAAAATATAATTCTTTACAAAAAATCACACCTTCAAGCTGTATAGTTTTAAAAATAATCAAGAAAACCTCATAAAGGAATGGAATTGCATTTGAACATAATTTAAAAAGGGAGGGGTATTACTTGATAACTGCGATTACTGCTGATTTGAGCAATAAATTCTCCCATGTAAGCAAAAAAAAAAAAAAGATGTATGGCTTCAGTCAATTCAGCTTGAAAAAATTCCATGCATGAAATTGATGTGGAAGGGGACTCATGCCACCCACACCGCCTCCAGACACAGTCTCATGTGGCAGGTGTCCAAAGTCTATTCCTCCCCATGCCCTGACCAATGGGGGAATGGCCCACCCCCATTCCTCTGCCCTAGCTCCACACATCCTAATGTGGCAGGTGTTCACTGTATACCCAGAAAGATGGGATAAAGGCACCTCCCGGGAAACAGTCAAAAGACAGCTGTTCTAACAGGCTGGTGTTTTATTAAGGAACTGGGTTATCATTTACCTCTCACTCACATGGCATACTTCTTGGTCCAAGCGCGGGCCATGCTAACATAGGTGTCCCTGTCCTTTAAGTACATCCTGGCGATGGAGGGAACAAAGGCATCATTGGGGTTGGGGTCACAGAGAATGGAGCTGATGAACAACAGGACTTTGGATATGGTCATTATGGGAGACCACTGGGAACTGAAAATATTGAGACAGATGTAGCCTCTCCGGTTGATATTGGGGTGGTAGATCGGAGTGGTGAAGTAAATCTGTGGGGGCATGAAGGGGTAGTTGCCTGGGAATTGTATGTTAAGGAAGAACATGCCTCCTTCATAGGGGCTGTCAGTGGGACCCGAGATGGCCCCCTTCCATGTGAACATGTCATCGTCCACTGGCCACGCAGAGCACAAGGGCGGGGGGTCATTGGTGATGTCAGCCAGTTCCTTGTATAGTCGCCTCAGAGCTGTGGACATGTCCATGGGAATGGAGATGGCCCGGACATCCTAGTAGGGAGAAAAAAAGGGAACCACAGGTTGGGGGGCAGGGGCTAGGGTGAATGTGGCTTAGGGAGGCAGGGTTAGAGAGGAAGGTCCCCTGAGGTGGGCGGGTGGGGAAGAAGGCTGGAGCAGGGCTGTGGAGGACAGGGATGATGTGGCGGAAGCGTGGAAGAGTCAAGGATTCAACTGGACCAGCAGGTCCTGAGGGGCTACTGCTCACCTGTGTGCCACTGGTCCCTGGCTCCTCCATCCCTTCCTTCTCCACTTCTTCTTCCTCCATTTCTGGCTCCTCGAATCCTGGGTTCTCCATCCCTGGCTTCTCCTTCTCTTTCTCCTCCACCACTGGGTCTGCTGCTCAAAGCCTGAACCCAGAGGCTGTGCTGAGGGAAAACACCACTCCCCAGGCACAGGACCAATGGCTTCTGTGTCTCTCTCCGCCCTCAGCTGCCAAGCTGGGGCAAGATGGGATACGTTCTGTGACGTCACAGAGGCCGGCTGATGATGTCAGCAAGTTCGTGGGGGCAGGGCCAGGGGAACCATGGGGCCTGAATGAGAGGGAGTCATTATTATAACAATTACTATATATCAATACTATTATAACAACATATTAGAGCCATCTATGAGATACATACATACATACATACTTACATACATTATTACCTATATGCATGCATACATACATATAGAACTTGTATTAGAAATATGGTCCTGGTCCTCTGTAAAGTTTAAGGAAGCAGATCAAGAAAGGGAGCCACATGAGATATTTCACCACAGAAAGAGGAACACACTCAAAAAACATCACCATCCTTTCTGCCTTTTTTCCTCTTGCTCACATTGCTGATGGATGTGCTCCTGTGCACACCATGTCTGAACTTGAGAATGCATCACCTGATGCCAGGTGTTATGACATATTTGAGCAGTTTTGTAGCCACAACCAAGTGCTTGTTTGCTCACACATGAAAATGCATAGGTGTTAGGGTTCAGGAGAGAAAACAAGTGTCAGAGTATATTGAAGGGCAATGTGTCCGGCCCTTCAAGAATACTCTCAACACTCTCACAATATTTCAATCTTTACTACCAGTCTTTGCTGCTCATTGAACTGTGAAATGACAATGCACTCAAGAGTAGGTTAACTCCACAAGCAGATATGTTCAAAATGACCAGAAGCTTATATGCACACTATTACTCTACTTAATTACCCACTGTCAACCCATGGCTGTATGTCTGCACACACTATGAGTTTTATTGCACTGTTTTGGAAATTTCTTTCAACCAAATGTCCTCCTATATAATGTGTTGAGAAGGGGTGGAGGACTCAATTACTTTTACTCTTGGTCCCACCACTCATGGGAGTAGGGAATTTGGATGCATTTACTTCCTCTAATGATCATCATAATCTACTTAACACCATGTTCTAGGCTTTATGTTATATGCTTGTTGAGACAAAGATAAATATGATATGGTCTCTGACTTAAGGACATCCATGGTCTGGTGGAGGAAGAGGAAAATGTATTTATATATGTTTAGGTCATACAAATGGCAGGATCTAAATACTGTAATAGAAACATGTGCATGGCTCCCAGGGCATAAGAAGGCCAAAAATCAGAGGCCACTCCTCAGAGAGAGTTCTATCTGAGCTGAGTCAGGAATGATGACTGGAAATTAGGTAAGATAGGTAAGAAGAATTTAGACAGTGAGGAAGAGACAGGAATGAATAATGGGAAGACTATAACTTAGGCAGAAGGATAAGCGGGTGTGAGAGGGTTGACATGACAGAAAACATGACTATTTCCAGGAATTAAATGCATTTCAGTCTGTTGAAAAATGTGTGGTTTGAAGAATGCCTAAAGCCCAGGTGACAATGTTCAAATTGTAAGTGGAGTTTTAGATGAATTGAGGATGTTTTTCTTTTATTCCAATTGCTGTCAGGAACATGGAAAGAACTTTCAGTAGATTATAATATGGATAATTTCTGGGTTTGGAGGGATCAATTAAGCATCTGGTGTGAAGAAAATTTATTAAGAATAAAGGAAAGGGAGTTCTGGAAAGTGTAGCTCAATTGTTTGCAGGTCCTTCTCCTACACCAGAATGTTGTGGGTTTGATTCCTAGTCTGAGCACATGTCTGGGTTGTGGGCTGGGTCCTACTTGGGGGTGACCGAGAGGTAACTGCACATTGGTGTTTCTGTCCCTCTCTTCCTCCCTTACTCCCCCTCTTTAAAAAAGAAATAAATAGAATCTTTAAAAATAACTATATAAAAGAAATAACTTGTGAAGTAGTAATATTAACTTCACTCTCCCCTCTACTCCTTCACTGTTGGGAGAATGTATTTCCCTGCTGTACTGATGTTGATCTTGGATATGCAACTCACTTGACCAACGGCAAGTGAATAGATGTGATGTACAAATCTTGGAAAAATGCTAATTACTGCCACTTCTTATTAGTTTGTGACAACTGCCTACAAATAAAATATTCTGTGTAATGTACATTCATTTGTTCTCGGCTTGCATACGGAAAAAAAACTCATTCAAACCTTCAACCAGAATCCAAGCCAAGACAAGATGAGGAGACTAAATAAAATCATCGATAAACTAAAGACTCAAAACTAAGAGATGCATATTTGCTTTAATCCCTAAGGTTAGTAGTTTGCTTATTACTGAAAAAAAAAATCTAGCTAATTTGTTATGTTTAGAAAACATACTGGGTGGCTCCATTTCTAATACTTTTTTTTTGTAAGTAATAGCCATAAGGCAAAAATTTAACACTTCAACAGTAACATAGTTTTACTTTTTCAGAGACAAGAAAGTGAAGAAACTAAGTAGTTGCTTTTGACACTTCTCATGTGGCTTAATCATATCACTCAGTGTCTCTGTGGCTTCCCTAACTGGTCTCAAGGTCGCTGCTGCAATCGGGATACAGCGTCAGCATTCCATGCAGAAGAATGGGAGACAAGAAACTGGTAACAATTGGGTTTTCCTTTCTAATGGGTAAAAAACTGCCTTTCTAAATGTGGCCCTGGCAGACTTCCTTTTGCACCCTGCTGTCCAGACTGGGATTACATGGCCCCTCACATCGAGAATGTAGACCATGAAATTGGGAAACACATTGCCCTGATTTGGGGTAGATAAATTGCAACTGAGTGCTGAAGACTTTTAAAGTGTTTCCACTGTGTGAAATCTAGTTTCTGGCAGCAGTAAAGAAGGGAAGTGGTGGAGTTCCGCCAAGATGGAGGCATTGGTGGAGAAGCTGTGCTTTTTCACACAACCAAGTTTAGAGACAACAAAATATTAGCAATAGAAAACATAGTCAGAACACAGAAAATTGAACTTTTCAGAAGTCTGATAACAATGAATTCTTTAGCCTGACCAGTAAGATGGGCAAAATCAGCAGCTGGCTGAGTGGGATTGCACAGGAAAACTCGGTCAGATGGACTCAGGTGTGCAGAACACAGTTACAGGGTTGGACCTAGTAAGCAACTCAGCGAGCGACCCACGGATCAGGTGAGGGTGAAGGGCAGCAGGTTGACTGTGCTGTCACAATCCTGCGCATATAGACCGGCAAGGAAGTGGGCAGTGAGTTGGGACCAAGAGGGTCCCAGCGACAGGTGGCAGCAGAGAGGGCCACCATTTCCCAGCTCTGACCCTGCCCCCACATACAGCATCACAACCCAGTGACTTGAGCAACCCTGCCCAGTGAACACCTCAGGCTTTGCTCCTCACCCAGTGGTGGGAAGAAGGAGAGGGGAGCACCATTTCCCCAGACTGACCTGTCCACCACATACAGCTTCACAACCCAGCGACCCCGCCCTGGAGGCCCCGCCCCACCCCTAAGGCTCTGCTCCTCAGATGCACAGTGCAAAACACTGGTGATCAGAATGCTCACAGAACTGGTTGGTTTTAGTCACAAATTAGAGGAACATATATGAAGGCTACACTAATTGAAATGAATGGCAATGCACAGGAAACCAATAGTAATGGAAAGGAGACTGGGACTCGAATCAAAGGAGTGGACCAGAAGGAGGGTAAAAATGACCAACTAGAAAAGAATGAAGAAACAAGAATTCAAAAAAGTGAGGAGAAACTTAGGAACCTCCAGAACATCTTTAAATGCTCCAACATCCGAATTATAGGGGTACCAGAAGGGGGAAAGGAACAGCCACCAGTGAAAAACTTATTTGAACAAATAATAAAGGAGAATTTCCCCAATCTGGCAAAGGCAATAGACTTCCAGGAAATCCAGGAAGCTCAGAGAGTCCCAAAGATGTTGGACCCAAGAAGAAACACACAAAGGCACATCGTAATTACATTAGCCAAGATTAAAATGAAAGAGAGAATCTTAAAAGTGGCAAGAGCTAAGGGGACAGTCACCTACAAAGGAGTTCCCATCAGACTGTCAGCAGATTTATCAAAAGATAACTTACAGGCAAGAAGGTGCTGGAAAGAGGTATTCCATGTAATAAAATTCAAAGACCTACAACCAAGATTGCTCTATCCAGCAAAAGTTCTATTTAGAATGGAAGGGCAGATGAAGTACTTCTCAGATAAGATCAAATTCAAGGAGTTCATCATCACCAAGCCCTTATTATATGAAATGTTAAAGGGACTTATCTAAGAAAAAGAAGATAAAAAAGATAAACAGTGAAAGGACAGTAAGCTCAGTTATTAAGAACCACACCTAAAACAAAAGCAAACTAAGAGAACAGCTAGATCAGGAGTGGAGACATAGAAATGAAGATCTCATGGAGGGTTAGCAACAGGGGAGTGGGAGGAGGAGAAGGGGGAAGAAGGTACAGAAAATAAATAGCATAGATGGTAGGTAGATAATAGATAGGGGAGGGCAAGAATAGTAGGGGAAACATAGAATCCAAAGAAGTTGAGACGTGGTGATAAACTAAAGGAGGGGAATGGTAGGGCGTGCGGGGTGGAGGGGAATAAAGGGGGGGATAGAATAACTGTAATGGCATAATCAATAAGATTTAAAAAA